AGGGGTGGGGGGGTGGGTGCCTGCCGATCAGCCTGTTGATCAGCTGATTGGCAGGCCGGCAGGCAGAATGGAAAAGCCATAGGAGGATGGCTTTTTTTCGTTTGGGGACGAATAAAAACGGGAAAATATTTGTTGATCTGTATTTGTTGGGACTTAGAATTTGATGAATACAGATAGACGAATATATGACGAATCAGCTATATTCAAAAAAACCCATATCTGTTTTTATATTCATCTCCATCTCTAGTGAGGGACTTTCTATATTCACATGTATGGCATCCCTGACGAATTAGCTATACAGTATTCGTAAAAAAAAACAATCTGTTTTTATATTCGTCTCCATCTCTAGTGAGGGATTTTCTATATTCACATGTATGGCATCCCTGACCACTCTCTCAAAGAAAGTAGTGTTTTTTTATCCCCGACACAGCTTTTAGACAGAACAGTGACCACATGTTTTGCCCTAGCTTCTGTAGGACTAGATACTTTTTAAAATCTGAGAAACTGGGTCAATTAATGATGTAATTGGGCTCCAAGTCGCATGACTAGTATCCAGGTAAAACCCAGCCAACATGTGCAATATGGCACCTGGACCTTCCACCCTTTTTTTCTCACAGTTTTTCCTCCCCACTCACCATGCTAATTCAACCTTATTATCTCATGTGTACAGCAGTATGCACTGATCACATCATTTATTAACTCCTCCTTTTTCTGTATGTGCACATGTACACGGGGAACACGCAGGATTCACAAAATGACTAGCTTAACGTAAAAGTGTGACCAGAACTGTTCCAGCAGTGAGAAAACCCAGAAGTGAAGTTTTAAATATGCTGTTCATCCAGTGCCCCACCCAAACCTAGTTGCAATCATTTGAATCAGACTTCAAGGCTTTCTGCTGTGGAAGAAACTCACCTGCAGGCCTCCTGCTTCCATCATGAATATGCTACTAAATCTTTTGTTTACAGCCAAGCCCTCGGGTGCAATCGCATCTGTTTGGACCCAAAGTCAAGGATCTACAAAATGCATTTCTCAGACTACAGTACCCGTCCAATATGATTAAGGAACAAATTAACAGGGCAAGACAGATACCGAGACTAAACCCTGCTGCAAACCCAGATGCCAGCTCTGTCCTCACATTTATTCTGGCAACACAATCACAGGACATTACAATGTCACACACATCAAGTGTACTTTTCCCTGGACTTCTGCCAGTCTTATCTATGCCATCAATGCCCCTGTGCACTTTACATTGGATAAACAGGACAATCTGTGCAAAAGAAACCGAGACTAAACCCTGCTGCAAACCCAGATGCCAGCTCTGTCCTCACATTTATTCTGGCAACACAATCACAGGACATTACAATGTCACACACATCAAGTGTACTTTTCCCTGGACTTCTGCCAGTCTTATCTATGCCATCAATGCCCCTGTGCACTTTACATTGGATAAACAGGACAATCTGTGCAAAAGAATTAATGGACATTTTGCCATCAATGCCCCTTTGCACTTTACGTAGGATAAACAGGACAATCTGTGCAAAAGAATTAATGGACAGATACTGGTCATCAGGAAGGCTATACACAGAAACCTGTTTCAAATCACTTCAACATCAGGAAGGCTATACACAGAAAACTGTTTCAAATCACTTCAGTCCACCGCATATTTTAACCTGGAGTTCCTTTAGTGAAGAACTGAATACCAAACACGGATCTCAAGTCATTACTAGGTATAAATGGCACAATGGTTCATGCTATTTACAACTTGAATCTACCAGCCACCACTTTATCTTAGAGACATATATGAATGTTTTGTGGTGTGATCTCTGTGTTCTCACTCTTACATCTGAATAAGTGTACCTGTTCTCACATTAAAATATATAAGTTTGTCTTTAAGGTGCCACACCAGCTTTATCCTCTTTATATTTTTGCTTTTGGTTTGTTTTGAGTTTCTTGTTGGTATGCTCTTAAGGTGTTCTTTTACTTTCTGAGAGCCTGGTGTCTGCCGCCTGGTGACTGAAAGTGGCACTGCAGGTTGCAGAAATATCTTACAGTACAGTGGTGCCTCGCTTAATGATGATAATTGGTTCCCAAAAAATCGCTGTTAAGCGATTTCATCGCTAAGTGAAACACAGTTTCCCATAGAAATGCATTGAAAACCGGATAATCCGTTCCAATGGGAACAGATTGCCATCCTTAAGCAAAAATTGCCATAGGAAACATCGCTAAGCGAAACATGGTTCCCCAATTGAAATGCATTGAAACCTATTCAGTGCATCTCAATGGGGGGAAAAAATACAACAAATTTAAAAAGAGTCGGAACAAAGTCAAATTAGTTTAACAAAGGGTTTATTAAGTGCACTTATGATTTCAAGCATTCTAAACATTTTTTAAACATTTCTAAACATTTAAAAAACAGTCAACATGAGGCTGTCAAAACCATCGTTAAGCGAAACAGGGGGACCCAAACTGTCATCGCTATGCGAAGCATGGTCCCAAACATCGCTATGCAAAAATCGCCTATAGGAACCATCGTTAAACGGAGCGCAAGATCACTCAGAAAAAGTGATCGCTAAGCGATTTCATCGTTAAACGAAGCAATCGCTAAGCGAGGCACCACTGTAATTGTATTTTTCCATTTATAATGCCCCCATTTATAAGACGCACCCCAATTTTCTAACCCCAGAATTAAGAAAACTTAGCTTTGAGGATTCAGCTTCTGGGCTCAGAACATCGGACATTTTGTCTCTGTTGAATTTTGAGCCTACAGGCTCCACCTCCAAGGCGGTTTGTTCCAATTGGTTTGTTCAAGATCAGCTGATGTCAGATCCAGAAAGCTCGTGACTGTAGGAAACTAAGCCTCATGGCTGAAGGAAGCCTGTTTACAGAGGCAAGGTATGTGCCATTTTGTTCTCTCCTCAGCTATCTCAGCTTACATCCGTGTAAAAGACGCCCTTCAATTTTTAGGGTAAAAGTAGGAAAAAGTAGTGTCTTATAGGCGGAAAGATACGGTAATTAAAATTCATTTATTAAAATCATCTTTAAATACACATCCTCAGGGTCCTCTTTTTAGCCATTCTAAAATTTGAGGTACATCAGTTTCTTTATGTTCTCTACGCTATATTAGAGACAGGCATGCACTCTCACTTATACAGCTATGTGTGAGCATGTGTGCAGTTATGTATAGTACGTGCAAACTGTCTTTTCACCAGCATCAACAAATGTAACCTGTTCCCCCATGCTTAAGTTTAAATAGCAAGAATTTGAAGGTAGATGAAGCCTCCCATTTCCTGAAAGAAAGAGAGAAACACTGCTGCAAAAATTGAGGCATCACCCCAGTCTGTCCAGTATTTCTTTCATACCCGAGCTCCAGTTCCCTCAGATGAGGTTTGCCCACCCATGTGTTGAGATCAAGCCAGCAAGTTAAAAAAAGATTCAGTCCACCTCCCACGTGCCTTGTAATTCAGAGAGCTACGTACTCTGCTCCCATCGCCCTTGCTATTTTGCTGTAGACTAGTGGTTCCCAGCCTTGGGTAACCCAGGTGTTCCTGGACTGCAACTCTCGGAAACCTGGGCAGCACAGCTGGTAGTGAAGGCTTCTGAGAGTTGCAATCCAAGAACATCTGGATTACCCAAGACTGGAAACCAATATTATAGAGGGAGGTACAAGCCCCCCTCTACTGCAAGATACTGTGGACACATGTATCAGACTAGACACCTCCACAATTTGTCCTTTTTCTCAGATCCAGCCATTTCTCCTGCCTCCAGGGAGGATGCTGTTCTATCTTTTACTCCATCAGGTCAATGGAGATGGGGGGTGCTCTGTTTTTCCCCACCTAAGCCAGGACTACAAGCTTCTCATCCTCCAAAGGTTTGCCATCTTTGAACAGGAGAAGTGCTGGAATAGCTCAGTGCTTTAGCTACAGATGGCTACAGAGCCAGAGATTAAGATTTTGATTCCCCATTGTGCCTCTTTCACAGGGCCTGGACTCGACGATCCATAGGGTCTTTTGCAGTTCTAAGAGAATGCAGTAATTTATAACTCCATGGTTCACAAAGTGAAGACAGCAAGAAAGCCACAAGAGATGTGTGGGACAGGAGGTCCAGCTCAGGAACAGTAGCTGGAGAAACATAAAGCCCCTTCCTTTTTCTTCTTCTAAAATAAGTCAACTTATTTTGGAAAGTGGTGGGAACAACAGAACCACAAAAGGGCAAAAGAAGGAAGATGAACCCCTCTGCTCAATGGAGGACTGATGGGCGGTAGATGAAGAAACTGAAGTGGGATGGCACAGTCCTGTCAGCCATGCAGAGAGTTTTTTTTTGTCTCGTGGGATAAACTTTACATTGCATAACTGTGAGAGCTATTACTTATAATAGGGTTAGGAAAGGGTAGACCTTCAACTGTTGGGCTACAACGCCCATCAACTCTAATAATCACTACAGCCAGTAATGCAGAATGGTGCAAGTTGCAATATCACAGCCTCCACCACACACCAGAGCTATAGCAACAATTCTTGTTTCTCTTACAATAATAATAATTGGTCATTGAACGCATATACCCTGTAAACACATACGAAATTCACAAAGAACTCTCAAGAGACCAGACCAAAACACACACACACCCTCATAACAATTTAGGTGTGTAAATATTGCAGTTTTGAAACCAGCACTAAAATCTGAAGCCCAGGAAGGAGAAATTCGGCTAAAAATCCCTCACTTCCCTCTCCTCATATCTTTAATTTGCATGCCATCTTTCGCTCCGAATAACTGGAAGTGTGTCTTTTAAGAGGGAGTTAAGTGGATGAGGGGCGCGCGCGGGGGGGAAGGCTTCGGTCGCTGTTGCACGGACGTTGTTTGTGGAGATAGGAGCTGTAGTCCCGACAATATCTGGGGACCAAGGCTGGGAAGGCATTCTAGCCCAGCACTCGATGGGGGGGG